GTAACCGAAACATGAGGCGTAAATTTAAAAAAAGATAGTTAACAACTAGGATTATGGATGAAGGAAGTATGGAACTGATAGAAATAATGCATCCATTAGTTTTGGATTAGTGGACTATTAGCATTTACTAAGCTTTAGGTAAATATTTGACGTGAAGGAAAATGATTCAGAAAGTCTGTACAGAGAATTAATTGATTGAGCTTTGCTTTCCCTGAGCTAAATAAACATCACCTACTCTTACCCAGGGATGGAAGAAGAGAACCTTCTCTTTCCCTTTCTGAATTCTATCCCTGTAAAATTGCTGTACAGCCTACACGGAAGTCACTGGCGAAAACTTAGGAAAATCAGCCAGGATAGCCATGTAAGGAAGTAAGAAGCAAATGCCAGAGTAGGGTAATAACTGCCGTTAGGGCAGGCTGTGCTGCTCCAGTCATAATGCATCTGCAGCTTCAGTTAGTTTTTCTTGTTAGCAATTCTAACCTGCTTTTTAGTTTAGTGGGGCTTGTGGGAAATGCCCACCAATGAGAATGATAAAGCCACTTTTAAGACCCCATCCAACTTGAATTAGGGAGCTCATCACTCCTTTAATAGAGACCTGAGCAGAATCAGGTCTCGTTTGAGAAGTCGTATTTGGCATGCCATACAGGCAGGCAAGAAGAGGGGTTCATTTTCTGGATTTGATCTGTGATGTGGCTGTGACTAGAATCTTTCTCGGAACTCTGCCTTCATGTTCCTTGCCCTTCATGGTGTCCTCTTGAAGTACATACGTTGTCAATAACTTCCCTAAGTACAGAAAGTTGAATATTGGCCATAGGACTATATCTTTTGTAGCTATGGTTAGATTTATTGATAAATACGTTAGTGAGATTGGTCAAACTTCTCAAAGCATTTTCGTGTTAAAATACTCTAAAGCAAGCTCACTGCCATCGGTCAATGCAGGGGACTCACAGTAACCCTACAGGACAGGGTAGAACTGCCCCTCAGGGTTTCCTAGACTGAAACTATTCAGGGGAGTTAGAAAGCCTTGTCTTTCTCCCATGGTGTTTCTGGTGGTTTAGAACTGCTGTCCTTTGGATAGCAGCCCCATGTCGATGATGAGTTATGTCCGACAGCAGGACTCCTAATGTTGTCAATGGGATGCTTTTTTGTCACAATCAAAGGTCCAGCTCAAACTGGTGAAAAACATTTCGGAATCCCAGCATACCTGTTGTGAGCCTCATTGGCAGGAAATGTGCCCCTTAGAGGAATATGGCCTACGCTTGGATGTGCATTGGGGGCATCTCCTTCTGAAGTACAGCCACTCACTTGACTGTTTTGTTACCTGATATTGTTCATTGATGACATTAGTAAAAAACGACTTCCTAACTATTGTGCACATTAACAGTGTATTCCTTACATTGCCATCAAGTTGATGATGACCGATAGTGACCCTACAGAAGAGGGTTGAGCTGTCCCTGTGGGTCTTTGAGACTGTTTCCAGGAGTAGAAAGCCCCATCTTTCTCCCTTGGAGCAGCTGGTGGTTTCGAACGGCAGTCCTTGGAGATCGCGATGTCTAAGGAGACGCCAGAGCTTCTCCTAATGTCCGTCTAGCAGTAGCGAATGCTGAGGTGCTAGATGAGAGTAGTTAGCAAGAGTTATGCTGGCCGTGAGGCTAAGGTTATGTGTCAGCTTGCCTGGGCCATGGTTCTCGGTGGATTGGCAGCTTTATAACAGTATCATGACAGTCATATAATGATGTAGTCCTTCTTTTTCTTGTACCTCTGATTTTTGCATAAGAACCTGGTTTTGGGAGCCAACTATGTCACTAAGTAAGGAGTGGGTGTGCTTGGGCAGTGTGAGACAATGGAGTATGTATCCATATAGGATTGGGATATTTTTAGAATACAAATGAGTAGGCAAAATGGCTACTGTAGTGGTGGTATTGGTAACTTTAAACTTGCCCTAATTTGATAGCTATTCTTATGAATAATAAGGTTAGGTATTTATTTCTATGGAGATAATTTGGAATAAGACTTTAAAAATTAGTTTTAAACATTGGCAAGTATAACACAGAAAAGCAGTCTAGTAGAA